CCCGGGCCAGGCCACAGAGGGCCTGAGCGGGCACCAGCGTCCAGGGGGTGGAAGGGGGGCCTGAGGGGACTTGCAGCAGGGCGGCTCTGGGTGTGGGACCCGGGCCAGGCCACAGAGGGCCTGAGCGGGCACCAGCGTCCAGGGGGTGGAAGGGGGGCCTGAGGGGACTTGCAGCAGGGCGGCTCTGGGTGTGGGACCCGGGCCAGGCCACAGAGGGCCTGAGCGGGCACCAGCGTCCAGGGGGTGGAAGGGGGGCCTGAGGGGACTTGGGTGAGGAGCAGCCACCCTTAGTCCCACACCTTCCTCTGTGGCCCGGCCAGCCCGGGGAGGCCTAGGATATGGGGGAGACCGTCCCAGCCCCCCAGACCCCAGGTTTGCCTTGTGCACATGGGTTTCGAAGGGCGGGGGGGGGCGATTAAGAAAAAGGAACCGAGGAAGGACCTGCCACTCTCCCTGTTGCTTCCTAAGAGATTTCCACGGGGCGCTGGGGTTTGGGAAGGGAACATAGCACAACCGCCTTAGCTTTCCACACGGCACCCAAGCAGGGGCCTGTGGCTGTGGGGTTGCCTTTCGGCAAATCACCTGCCGAGTGGCCTGCCCATCACCCCGCCCCCCATTTTCACAATCGGCCCAGAGCTGAGTGGGGGCAGAGCGTGGGGTCCCCTGGGCCGTTCTCCCCACTTGGGTGCGTGTTTGAAATGGTCCAAAATGAGATCTTTTCCGAGGCTCTCCCTCCGGCTCCGGGAAGATTTCACCATCACCTCGCTCCGGCCGCCCTGCTCTGTGAAAGGGTCGGCTTGCCAGCGTTCCTCAGCCATGGACCCTTTCCTCACTGCCCGGTGAGTCCATGCCAGCGTGCGACTTGCCGAGGCGATCTGCTAGGATTTTCACCCGCCTGGGTTTGGGGAACAGAAACGTGGGCAGCTCACACCGCTGGTTCGAAGCAGGAGGTGCGGCCGGAGGGCAAAGAGACAAAGTCTAATGTTATAAAGAAACGCCGGTCTCCGCGCCGGCTTGGCTCCGTGGGGCCGCGGTGGAGCCCGACGCAGAGCGGCCGGGAGCTCGGAGTGGAGTCCCGGGGGTGAGTGGCGTCCCTGGGGGGTGAGTGGCCCCGCAGCGGGAGGTAGGGGGTCTTGGCCAGCTTCCTAGAAGCAGAGCCTGCGACAAGGACTTTGTGCCCCTGGTTGAGGGGGAGCGCTCTCGAGAGAAGCAGGACCAGGCAGGTGACATGAGCCAGGGCCCGGTGTGGTCCCAGCTGCCCCCGCGCTCCAAGCGGGTCCCTCGTGGTGGGGGCTGCTCAGAAGCACAGACTCGCGCCCACCGTGAAGCCAGGAGGCGGGGTTTCCTAGGCCAAGATGCAGGGTTTGGGGAAGGGTATGACTCACACTCCCCAAAGCGGGCAGCTGTGAGCCCTTAGCACCAGCAGCCACAGCAGCTGGAAATGGGTGTCCCACCCCAGGAAGCCGGGGGGGGGGGGCGGGACTGGAGGGGCACGGACAGCAGGTGCCCCGTGGAGGGATTCCCGCCCTAGAGCCCGGCCCTGCGGGCAGTCACTGCCTTGCAGCTGGTGGGGGTGGGGTGGGGAGGGCGCCTCAGCCTTCCATTCCCTTTCCACACTCCACTCACACAGGGGCCGGGCCTTGCCCAGCACTCAGATCACCCGGGCCTCTCGCACCCCGGAGGGGAGGCCTCCGTTTCCCGCAGGGCCCTGCGTTCGCAGGTGAACCCCTCTTTACACCAGCACCCCGTCCTGAAGCTCCGGGGGAGGCTGGCTTTGGTGCACTCACAGCTGTTTTCTAACCAGCATCTCCTGAACCCCAACCCTCTGAGGGGGTCCCTGGTCCCCTACTCGTCCCTCTGTCACATGGTGTGACTTGATACCTCTCAGCTCCTGCCTGTCTCTGCTTGACCTGCACGCACATGCGTGCACACGTGGGCATCCTCACGCAGGCCTCTGACGAGGTCACGGCTCCCCTGCCAGGCTTTCTCTGTGTGTAGAGGCAGCCTCAGACCACTGCCTCTCTACACTCAGCTCGCCCTTCCCGGCGTCCCAGGGCCCGGGGCCCGGAGCCCGGAGCCCCCACACCCCTCCCCCCTGTGGTCACCCCTCCGGAGGGTGACAACCCGACAAGGAGCATGGTGCCCGGCTGGCAGGACTCCAGGCCTGTGGCAGGCGGTGGCGACACTAAGGGTTATTGAGCATCTGCTCTGTGCCCGGCCCCGCCACGTGGCAGACATCATCCCACTCAGTCCTCACAGCCACTGCCCACACCCAGCGCGGCACCAGCGCTCCCCAGGGGACAGTGAGGAGACCTCGATGCTGAGATGTCATCGCCCAAGAGCCAGGCTCCCCGGAGCAGAGCCAGGGTCTGGCCCCGGCCTGCCCACCCCAGTGCTCACGACCTGGTCCACTCTGTGGGCGCTGCGGGACCTGCGGAGACCCAGGCCCTGGCCGGACCTGTAGGTCCTGAGCTGCTGAAGGGACCAGCGAGGGTCAAGGCTGAAAGTGTCCCCCACGGAGCCCCAGGGCCCCACCACGGGCATAAGCCTTCTGGGGACTCAGAGTTCGCGGCTTCGCCACAGCCAGCAGACTTTCCCCCCTGCTTATCAAGGTCCTGCCCTCGCCACGCCCCCTGCGGTGCACCCCGCTCCCTGTAGCAGCTCGCTCTCCTCCAAGGGAATTACGCAGACTTGGAAGTGACCCTAGAGGTCACAGTCCAGTCCCTGCCCGCACCGTGACAGGCACAAGAGAAAACGAAAAGAAGGGCTCCAACTCCTCCCCCCAATACAAACCCCACAACCAGACGTCTGTAAGTTACGGCCAAAAGTGACCCCCACAGATGACCAAGTAGAGAGAACCATTGCACAATGAGGAAAAGGGTCCACGACTAAGGAAGTTTGGAAAATTCCCTTATTAATACAGAGTGCTCCACGGCAGGAATTCTCAGGGCCTTTAATATGCTAATGAGGGGGAAGATCATACCAAGGGTTTCCCAAACTTATTTGACCATGGAACCCTTCGGCAGCTGATCTGTCAGGACCCGTGTTCCATGGAACACACTTTGGGAAAGGTTACTCGGGCTTCTTGGATCTAATTCCCTGGTGGATATTTGAACCATTCCTGTTGCCACAACACTGGGACGCGGATGCCAGGTGGAGGCACACCTCCAGTGCCCGGCACACGCTGTGCCGCCCAAGACCCCTCTGCCAAGAAGTCTTCCTTCTCTCATATGTCCCAGCCGCGTCCAGGCCCAGGGCCGGGCTCTGTCCTCCCCGGGGCCCTGAGGTCTGGGTGTAGCCCGTGGCTAACTGACGCAGGTCCCCGCCGCCAGCTCTCTTCCTCAGCCCAGCCGTGTCAGAGGGCCCGCAAGAGCTGGGGATTGAGAGACGGACACGTTCCCAAGCACAGCGGGTCAGGCCACAGAGAAGAGGGGGGCAGCAGCGAGTCTCGGGGCTCAGCTTTCGGAGCCCAGGACGGGGAACAGCCTGGCCTCCCCTCCACTAAGTCAGGAGCTGTCACTCAGGCCAGTGGGAATGTGATCAGGGTCCCAGCAGTCAGACCCCTCTCAGAGCCAGTCCCAGGCACTTCCTCGCTGTACGACGCTGGCCAAGGCACTGGGACCCCCCTGAGCCTGTCCCTTTTTCTATGGGATTGCGGCGCCTTCCTGGGGACCCAGGGGCGTCACAGGCACCATGCCTAGCAGAGAGCGGCGCTCGCCGGCCCGAAGGCCCCCTGGCTTTGGCGCTCCGCGGCTGTCCCTTCCTTCCCACCCTGCTCAGGGTTTCGTCCTCCAGGCGACCCGCCCCTCCGGCCTCCCCAGGCTCCCTGAGCCTGTCCCTTTTTCTATGGGATTGCGGCGCCTTCCTGGGGACCCAGGGGCGTCACAGGCACCATGCCTAGCAGAGAGCGGCGCTCGCCGGCCCGAAGGCCCCCTGGCTTTGGCGCTCCGCGGCTGTCCCTTCCTTCCCACCCTGCTCAGGGTTTCGTCCTCCAGGCGACCTGCCCTTCCGGCCTCCCCAGTCTCCTTCCTGCCCACCGTCACCACCACGGCCGGAGCACGGCAAAGCGTGGCTGCTCACACAGGACCTCCTGCACCCACGCGGTCGGGATTGAAATCTTGGGGAATGTGCTCCTCCTTTCTTTTTATCAGGAAGAGTAAAAGCCACTCCCTCTAAAGCAGTGGTTCTCAACCTTGGCTGCACATTAGAATCACCTGGGAATCTTTCTAAAATCCTGATTTCCGGGCCTCATCCTCCGGAAATTCTGTTTCTTTGTTATGGGGTGGGGCCACAACATTAGTAACAAAGAGAGGATGAGGTCCAGAAATCAGGATTTTAGAAAGATTCCCAGGTGACTCTAATGTGCAGCCAAGGTTGAGAACCACTGCTCTAAAGAGTCTCCTCGTTAGTCCCGCCCCCGTGGAGAGCCATCTCCTGACAGGAGCCCCACAGCCAGCCCCTCTCTCCGTCCCTCCCAGCCCTCACCCACTCCACTCTCCGGGGAAAGAGTTCAGCCTTTTACCCAGTCACCGGGCAGCCCCCAAGTTCTGATGCGCACCCTCATCAACATACAACATAGCCCTGGCCGGTGTGGCTCAGTGGATAGAGCGTCGGCCTGCGGACCGAAGGGTCCCGGGTTCGATTCCCGTCAAGGGCACGTACCTCGGTTGCAGGCTCCACCGGGGCTC